TTAGAGATAGGCTCATGAAATATATGACGGTATGCAAACTGAAAAAGGTGGTTTTGTTTCAGTTTGTTTTCGTAGAGGTTTTACGGCACTCACAACTGCATAAGGTCATATGAGCGCAAGAAGATTAGAGGTGTTACAAGAGAGTAACAAACATAAATAAGAAGAAGGGGAGATAAGGACGATAGATGTTTCATAGGAAAGAAGAAGCAAACCACACCAGAGCACCCGTCAACCACCCACAGAGGGGGAGACAGGCGGAAAGGTGGAGAGGGAGAGAGACAAAAGGGAGAGGAGGGGAGGGGTGGGGTGGAGTTAGGCTCATGAAATATAACATTGAAAAATGGGGAAGGGGGGAGGGGGGTAGATATAGGCTCATGAAATACATGACAGTATGCAAACTGAAAAAGGTGGTTTTTAAGGGGGGGGGGTGTTGCTGTTGTATATGTTTTGGTCTTGGTTGGGGTGTGTGTGTTGTTTTGTTGGATATTGATCTATATTTCTTTTTTGTTTGGGTTTTTTTTTTTGGGGATGGCATGTCAAGTTTTTTTATTTTTTTTTTTAACATGAAAACCAAGTAGTGTGAGGGAGGAAGCAGGGGCCATGATATATCTACAGACACTGAGGAATAACTATAACCTCAGAACATCATGTGTCTTTTTAGTTTTAGCAGAGGTTTTACGGCGCTCGTAACTGCATAAGGTCATATGAGCGCCAAGGGGTGGATGTCAACAGAAAATTGATTACAGGGAATCAGACTTACTCTGCTCACGTCTCTAGCTTCAACAGCACAAAGTCTGCTTCGACTATCAAGGCACCCCGGAAATAGCGGGTCACAAGAGAGTGACAAAACATACAAAAGAAGTAGAGGGAAATGACGACAGTAAGGATCAGGGAAGAAAAAGCAGCAGTTCCCTGTTGCAGTTCAGGCACAGTTATGAGCACATTGATGAATCAGCCCATTTACAATTTACGATTCTACTGTGCATGATAGGAACAGGTTAATGTCCCCCTTTTGGGAATGGCCCAAAGACACTTCAGTCAGTAGCACTGCCCTGGGGGGTATGACGTGTCTACAGAATACAAACATTGGGAAATAACAATAACCTCAGAACATGATTTGTCCACAGAATACGGACATTGGGGAATAACCCACAGAATATAGGACGAGAAAGTGGGAAACAGTAAATGGAAAGAGGGAGAGAGAGAAAGAGAGAGGGAGAGAGAAGGAGAAAGAAGGAGAGAGAGGGAAAGAGGGAGAGAGAGGGAAAGAGGGAGAGAGAGAGAGAGAGAGAGAGAGAGAGAGAGAGAGAGAGAGAGAGAGAGAGAGAGAGAGAGAGAGAGAGAGAGGGGAGAAAGAGGGAGGGAGAGAGGGAGTGAGAGGGAGTGAGAGGGAGAGAGAGATAGAGAGGCAGAGAGAAAGAGGCAGACAGACAGACAGACTCAGACAGACAGACAGACAGACAGACAGACAGACAGACAGACAGACAGACAGACAGACAGACAGACTCAGACAGACAGACAGACAGACAGACAGACAGAGATCTCACCATTCTGGCAATCTCTCCCGTTGGCATGTAGGGTGAAAGGGTCCTGGCAGACACACTGGTGATCGGAGCACACCGCCAACCATCCACATGCTGAGCCCGCGCTGCAGTTGTCTGAGGGGGGGGGGGGGGAGGAGATACAAAAGAATTATTATTTTTATTATAATAATCATCATCATTACTATTATTATGATTATTATAACTATCGTCATCATTATTATAGTTAGTGTGATGATTAGCTGCCCGCCAGCCTTCAGCTAGACAGCCTAGAACTTACGGCTTCGCCATCAGGTGTTGCGACCTCAGTGTTTTCTTGTCCTATCTCTATTTTTAATAACAAGTTATATATATGTGTACAAAAACATACACACACACACACAATTCATGCATGCACACATAACATTCATAGTGATCACCGCTTAAGAGCACTCTGTTAAGAACCTGGTACAAATAGGCCACTTCTACTGTGTTCAGTACCCAATTTTTTTTCTCTTACAAATTTCATTTCTATAGGCCTACCTGCCTTTATAACAGAATCCCGCCAAACAACATGTCTAGAAACCCGTCTAGGAAACTGTCTGACAAAACCTGCCATAGACCTCAGTGTGGCCAAAGATCGGAGACGTGAACTCACATGAAGCAGCCTGTCCTAGCAGGAAGGAGCTGAGCACCGCCAGACAGAGAAGCTGGGGAGCGCTCACACATCGCTGGGTCAGCACCATGGCAGCCTACTTTTCATCTTCCAGCTGGGCTGAGCTCTGAACGTGCCAGTCTGTGACGCTTGTACGAATCTGTGACTTCTTCTGCTGAGTCTTTGACATTCGCACGTGTCAGTCTGTGAATAAGTTCAAATAAAAACTAAAGGGCTGCTGCTATACAACACTTTAAATCAAATACCACAAGAATGAGATGTAGGCTAAAGTAAAATAATACCAAAAATCTTGGAAATCTTGTCTGGATTTGAACCATGAGAAAGACAGTCTAGTCTAGAAATCTAGTGTTGATTAACTGATTCCGTCCATTCGGCAGCTGACAGTGGCTCTGAGTTTTTCCGCTGCGTCCATTCGACCGCTGTGAGCGGCTCAACGAAATCCGAAACAAATGCGCCCTTTTAAAAATAGTTCCGACTTTTTAAGTTGTCGAAAGGAAGTAGAACTTGTAAACAAACCTGACCTCAATCTCTGAGCACCAATATCGATCGAAACTCCGCAAAATTCTTGCAAAAATCGTTGTTTTGTTGTCGCGATGTAGGCTAGATCTAAGCCGTCTAGATCTAAGGGTAAACAACACAGAGTGTGGTATAATAAAAAGGCCCTTCAAAGAAAGATATTCAACTAAATTTGTGAAATTCTTGCATAAATGTGTGCTAGGGTGATATCACTACAGTGTTGTGTTGATTCCTATGGATTATAAGAACTTGTACTTGTAGAGCTGAGACAATGCAGTAAGTCAAAATTTTTGGAGAGCTGTTGCGCAATTTTTTTTCTCATTCGTTTTTGTCTGAATGAAAATGCAGTACAAACAGAATATAGGTCATTGTTATTGATAGATAGATATTAAATTAACTCATCTCTCACCCTTCCTCAGATTGTCCATCATCCTTTGAATCTTAATAAAGAGCAAGTTCAATAACATCACAGAAGGAAGTTATTCATCTTTAACTATGATGGACAATATCAACCCTCGGTATGTGCAAAACCTTGTGGGTAACCATCCAAGGAAATGGGAAAGGACAGGTGTTGTCACCGAAGTCAGGCAATTTCACCAGTACGTCATCCGTGTCGACGGGTCAGGTAGAATTACGCTAAGAAACAGACAGCACCTGAGGAAATTCACGCCCTTCCACAAAACGTCTACGGTCATCACTGGCATAACCCCAATCACACCAGAATCAGCCCGTCAGCAAAAAGGCCCCGACCTTGACTCCCAAGTAACGCCGTCACCACCACCAGAGAAGTCCCAACAAGCAAACGGCCCAGGAGAGCTTCAGCGGCATGACCCAGAATCAACTTCCGTCCTGCCGGACAGCCCCGACACAGGACCAGCCTCACCCGACAGCCCGGCCGAGCCAGTAGCTGTGCCTGACGAGCTGGCATCAGAACCCGAAATCCGTGACAGGTCATCAGCCTCACCTACTCACAAGAAACTCCCGGCAGCACTAGCCCGTCTGCTCCCCCACAACAAGCCAGGGAAGCTAGAGCAACGCCCCCTGAGACCCCGCTATCACAGAAAGAATGACATTACTAAATACTGAACCATACATAACAATTGACACTCTTACTATTCAGTGGTTATTATATTCCTACGCTGCAACTCTTGTATTTCCCCTTTGCTCCTTACAAGGCAGCTTTGGCACCGGCAGTTGGTAGATCGGATTTCTAACTTTCGCTATATATATATATTCAGTCCCCTTATTTACTTGATCCATCTCATTCTTATCCTCAAAACATCCTTCACTTCCACTTGACTTCTTACTTTTCCTCCTCATCCTTTTGCATTGATTTGTCCGGTGTCTCATGAACCTTTCAATAATTTTTTGCTCTGTAATATTTCATTCCATTTATTTCACTTTCCATTGACGGATCATCTGAGCCATCAGTTTTAAACGTACCCTATAAAAAACTTTTCCCCGGGAGAGGGAGATAGATAGATACTAAATTAACTCATATCTGATCTCTCACCCTTCCTCAGATTGTCCATCATCCTTTTCCACTCACTCCAACCATACACATCCCATAACATTTGAACTTAGGGGGGAAGGGAACAATACACATCCATTCGCACTGTAATTTGTAATCATCTTTCATACATGATGCTTGTATCCATGTTTAACTAAGAATAGGTGTGTGTGTAAGGATCAAGGGACCGAAGTGTCACAATAACATCATCCTATGGATGGCACCATGTAGGTCTCTTTGAAGCTAATTGTGGTTTCATTAACAGAGTAAGATAATTTCAGCCCCATTAGTAATCGGCATTACATCCATTCTCATTGTTCGTACCTTTTAGTTACAGTTCAAATTGTCCTGTTGAATATATTTTGTCATGTTGTGGAAAAGGATTTCACTCTTTGAATCTTAATAAAGAGCAAGTTCAATAACATCACAGAAGGAAGTTATTCATCTTTAACTAATTGATATAAACACATACCTCTATTTATTCCCATCAGTTTGGTAATATGACAATACCTATTAGAGTGAGGTAAATTTTTACTTTCACTCCCGCACACAGATGCACTGTTTCAGGGGTCAAACTGCTGTACTGTTTGCTGCAGATCACACATAAAGCCACTAAAACTGTCGCAAAGCAATTATTTTCAAGACAATTTCAAATCTAACTGTAAAATATCAACAAACTATGGGTAAAAACAGGGGGGCATGCCCCCCTGTAACCCCCCAGATTTTCTTTTACCCCAGTGGGGCAGGCCCTCCTGGAACCCCCCGATTGGTCCAAAGCATGTCTATCTCGGTTAAAAACAATCAAATATTTCACAAAAACTATTAATTTGCGACGGAAATGAAGTTGATATTCGTGTTCAGCGCATCAATATTTAGTACAAAATAGACAATTGGTAGCTGAGTGTGAGACGGGAGGGAAAGTAAAAAAATACCTAGAGTGATTTTGAGCTTCACCGTAATACTTTAAATAGATGCATCCCAGAGGTCTAAAACTGAACAGGGAAAAATAATTCTGTCCACAGCCAGAAAAAATCATGGACGGAATCAGTTAATAAAATTAGATTATATTTTAATAAAAGTTAGACCTACTTTAGTCTAGCAAGCATGAGAATTTAAATCTTGAATCGTGTTGAAATGAATAAAAAATTATAGATCTAGATCTAGATCTAGATTAGAATCTAGTCTAACAAGGAAATTCTAATTGATCATGTTGTCTGGGCATTCTTCTACACTTGTGGACAAAGCTTCTCTGAGTCTGAGCCACCAACCAGTCTAGATCTAGATTCTAGTGTTCTTCCTGGAATGGGCCTACAGGCTCAATAGGTGAAATCCGTTTCAGCAAACTTTGATTCAGGGTATTTATTATTAACTATACAGTAAAATCTAGTCTAGATCAACATCTGGATCGAAAATCTACCACTAAAAATTGTTGCTGGCCTCAAAGTGTGTACAATTTAATTGTTGATGTTCGATTCGCGTCTTACTTCTGTGGATTTCAGAGGTGTAAGAGCTTTTTCCGTATTGTGCCAGCTATATGGTAGGGTACCAGCGAAGTTATAGGTCTACAGTAAGGTCTTTGTAAGGTTCTTAAAGTTTAAACTATATATTAGTGATGCTGAGTTTCAGTTAAAAATACAGAGAGAATAGAGCATTTAACAAAAATGTGTAAGTTCATCTGTGAAAAAAAAAGAGATTTCAAACAAAACAGTCGACCGAAAAGTGCCTTATTAACAAGTCGCACTTAACAAATCCAAACTGGCATACAGGGCATCTATCTTTGTTGATGTTTTTTATTTTTCGTGGCTGTTCTATAAATTGGGTACCTCCCACGTATTAAAAGTATAGATTTTGATAAATCTGAACTTTTACTGTAAATTTATTCACTATTTGTAGAGGTGAATTCATTGATAATTAAGATAATACGCAAATATAATAACCTGAAAGGAGATCTAATCTACCGATTGTCAAGAACTCTGTCTGCTGTTGCAGGAACCTCCCTCGTTGGTAATGCTAACAGGAAGTACAGAATTCCGTCATAGATCGGTTTCTGAGCAAGGAAGTGACATTGCATGTCGAAACAATACCTAATTTTTTTTTGTCTTGTATAAAGTTTCTTCGTAAGTATTTAGTAGTGTCATTATTTTACACCTTAGTTATTTATATTTATTTACACTCAGATATGAAACCTAATTGTCTTTGTGAGGAATGAAACTCCGTAAGTAGTAGCCCATGTTCATTTTAAATGTTATGCCTAGTGAGTTTTTGTCAGCAAGTGATCAACAAAACAGGACGTGAAAGAGTGAAAACAAAGCAATAAATAAAGAAAACAGATCCTTAAATTATCAACCAGTAGCTGCCTGTTCGAATTTAAAATCTAACTGCGAATCTGTGTGTGCTGGGCAAAATGATAATGTGTGTTTTGTCGACCATTCTTCTCTGAAGGCTATCATCATCGTGGTTTGGTATCAAATTTCAAGATCATAGCAGTCATCATAGAGCATCATAGTCATAGTCCTAGCAGAGCCTTCTACTTCTTGTGGTCTTACTGTCTTAGAATACTTAAATTTGTCTCTAGATTCTAGATCTAGAGTTAATCCTGTGGTGCGATATACCGTAAGCGATCTTTTACTTTTGTGGATATCTCTGGAAGTTACAGGTCGATCTTCATGATTTTTTCACCAGAAGTTAGAAAGACTTCCTCTCTATAAGGTGTAGCGCATTACTGTAACAGCAGTTTAAAATTCCTATATGTTGTGGTGGTGTTTGTTTGGTAACGTGTCTGGTTGATGCGCAAGGTGTCTGATTGGTGCCACATATCGTCTGGTTGAGTGCGCAATAGTACCATGTTTACAGATCTAGAATCTAGATCTAGATCTAGCTCTTTTCTGACTCTTTTCATCTTTCTCTATCCTGGCCTTGTCTTCTTTTCCTTGCAAGAAGTTCCTGTGCTGACCGTAACGGAAGGCCAAGGTCAATGAGGCGTGTTCTTTTTGGGAGCTGTGCGCCCCCTAACAGGAGATTTCCTTACACCGTGTGTATGTGTTTTGATAATGGATAAAAAGAAAGGTGCTGTGGACACAAGAAGGTGAAAGAAGAAAACAAGAATTAGACTATACCTAGACTAGTATTTTTAAAGGAAAAGGACAAAAAAGAAGAAGAAAAAGACATGAAAAGAAGAAATTGAAAAAGAAAGGTGCTGTGGACACAAGGAGGTGAAAGAAGAAAACAAGAATTAGACTATACTTAGACCAGTATTCTCTAAAGGAAAAGGACAAAAAAGAAGAAGAAAAAGACATATGAAAAGAAGAAATTGAACATTTTGGAGATTAAATTTCCATATTAATTAATTTTGACGTGAATACATTAACTTATCATCTTCCAATGGCAATATAATGCATCCAAATGGAAGGAAAACAGTCTGTTTCAGTGCACAATGCAGGTCATAAAGAAATAACTTAATAAGTAAAACAAACAAAGGGCCTAGAAGCCACACTATCAATGCCAAATATAGCAAAAAAGCCGATATTGCGCACTGAAACGGACTGCACAAATTTGGTCCGCTTCAGTGCGCAACCCTATCTGGCATGTTCCTGGGCATTAAGAAGCAGCCTGCGATAGTATTTATCGATTCTAGTATACATTCTACGTTACATTAGAGCTAGATTAACTAGATGTGCTAAATAATGGACTACTCAAGCGCTTTGTAAATTCACCGATACCGGTTACGAAAACCATCAATATGAAGAAGCAAAACTTTCCGACACCGTAGAATCACGTGTGTTGACAGGAACCTCCAAAACGAAAGTGAAGTAAGCTGCATTCTGCGCATGCTCACAGAAAGGGACCTCATTTTCGCTGTTCTTATAATCCAAAACAAAGCAGGAGACTGGGGGTTGCGCACCCAAACAGCAACGCGGTGACGCTGTGGGACTCTAGATCTATCAATCTGGGTTCCATTGAATTGTCTAAATTTGCTTGACAGCAGAAACAGGCTGGAAAGATTAACTAAAGAAGGAGCAGGAATTCCGTAACGAGCGACCACAATCACAATGAAGTTAAAAATGATAGAAGTAGGCCTAAGTTACTAGAAAAATAGATCTATAGAAGATATTTATAAAGAAGGTTAGGGTTCTTGAGGCTAGGGTTAGGGTTTGACTTGAGTTTGGGTTAGTTAGAGTTTTGTATTGGTTTAGGGTAGAGTTAGGGCTGTGTTCTTCGCTAAATCTATAGGTGTTTGTTGGGGTGGTCACTCGTTGCAGGTGGGAGTCTTTCTAAATAAGTTGTTGATCAAGATTGTAAGTTTCTTAATTTGAAGATGTATTGTAATTCAAAAGAAATATAGATTTTCAGATCTATGGATCCAGTCGATCACGACTAGCGTTACGATTGTGATTACGATTTATCCTGGCTACCAGAATACATATATATAAGCTGTTATTATTGTCTTTTTCCGGGAGCCGGCACTACTGCATCCGGTTTCATTCTCAACGGCGAGGATTGCAGTTGCAGCCGCTGTTTTCAGAATTTAGACTTTGAAAATGCTCTTATGTTTTTTTGCTGTGTTTTTCTTCTGTCCTAATTTTTGTGCGTCAGAATTGAACAAATGATTGGGCTCATACTCTGGCAACTTGCATGATGATGACCACTGTTCAGTTTCTCTTGTTTTGTGTTTGTCTCCAGGATGAGCAATGTACGTTTTCTAAGTTGACGAGTGACGAGGCCCCTGCAGTAATCAGTGTTCGAGAGTCAACAGGAGTGCCGTCTATCGGAGGATCATCAGTGCATTGTTCCTGACGGAAACTCTCTATCATTATTCAAAATGCCTGCGATTCGAAGAACTCTGAAAAATGTTGTAAAGAACTATTCAGATGCCCAAGTGAAAGTTAGAGAGGCAACCTCGAATGATCCATGGGGCCCTTCGAGCACGCTGATGTCTGAAATAGCAGATCTCTCGTATAATGTAATGGCTTTCACAGAAATCATGCAGATGGTATGGAAACGCCTAAATGATGATGGAAAAAACTGGAGACATGTATATAAATCACTTGTGGTGCTGGACTACATTATCAAGACGGGCAGTGAAAAGGTACTGTTCGCCACCCAAAATATTTGTTGGTATCACAAGTATAAATGAAAGCCAAGAAGGCTGTTTTCCTATAAAACAGGGATCTGTGTGTACTCCTTTTCAACTGCATTGTCATTTCATTCTGTCCGTTTATGAATCTTCAGCTCAACTCTGACAACATATTTTACATTCTAATTGGTCGCTTTTTTAAGGACAAGCTGGCTAACTCATATTTCGGGGGTTTCCAGAAATCTTGACTTACTCCAAAAGTGGACATAGCCCTACGTATAGGAGAAGTTTGGTTTCATTGGTGTGTATATTTGTTTGGTTATAGAGAAAACTCTCCTTGTCTTTTAAAGAAACTGAACACGGGGCAAAGGTCACTTTAACTTTGATTTTTCTCAAAACAGCCTTTTTCGGGATAGCCCCCTTGTGTTTAAAAAAGCGACCGATTCAGCATCTGCAGTGACACCATTTCCTCTTTGTGTGTGCGTGTGTCCTCCAAAGTGCCTCTTCTTTATACGTCTCAGTAAAAAGGTTCCTGATGACTCTACTTTTTTGGCTGTGCGCCCCGGCTAAGCACAGCGTGTTGAGGATGGCTGAGCAATGTTCTAACCTACTGCCTTTGTTGTATACAGTCAACATTTTCTAAGATGGCTACCTATTGTCGAGGCGAAAAGCAACTGTCTTTGACAGATGGACTTTATACGTGGTCAATGTCATTATAATGTGGAAAAAATGTTTTAAGCCCCACAAGGGTTTATTGAGGAGTGGCCATTTGTACAAATGATTGTCTTATAGTGGTGGATGTTGAGCATGTTCAACTGATAAAACAAGAAAGGCAATAGTTGAGCTCAAAGCTCAATCATAGAATTCTAGTGGCGCTGACCTTTTCATCACATTTCAGAACGAACCTCACACTTCTGGTCACCAATTTTAATTGAAACTGAAGTGTTCAATATTCATTTGATTGAGATAGAGCTGAATTTTCATGATTTTGATCTTTGAAATTGAAAATGAAGTTTTTATATAAAAAAATTATGAGCATCTCTGCTGCTCAGTGTAAGTTTAAAGCTGCACACACACACACACACACACACACACACACACACACACACACGCGCACAAACACACTCACACACATACACTCTCACCCATACACACTCATACACTTTTATACACACTCACACTCCTACACACACACACACTTTTATACACACTCACACTCCTACACACACACATGCACTCACACTCATACACACTCATACACATTCACACCCATATACACTCACACACAAACACATACTCACACTCATACGCACGTTCACACTCGTGCACACATTCACACTCATGCACACATATATTTATTCCTAACATAAGTAGGATTTTTGTTTTTTGACAAGCTGTTCTTCAAGATGTAATTATTTAAGAAGTGCGTCTTACATTTACCGCAATATTGATTTGTTGATGTTTGCACAGGTTGCCCAGCAGTGTAAAGAAAACTTCCACGCCATCAAAACGCTGACCAGCTTCCAGTATATTGACGCAGACAACAAAGACCAGGGCATGAACGTGCGAGAGAAGGCCAAACACCTGGTAGCGATGCTCTCCGACGACGAGAGGTTGAAAAATGAAAGAGCCAAAGCCCTGAAAGCCAAAGAAAGATTCGCTCAGAATGCCATGGGCGTGGGGAACGGCAACGGTGTGCCCACCAGGTCGAAGGTCAGAGCTTCTCTTCCTTCTCGTTATTGTGCTGTTGTTTTTAACACTTTGCAGTCACACAGCCAGCAATACAAAATTCCCCATTTCGTCACCCAGCCAGCAATACAAAATTCCCCTTTTCGTCACCCAGCCAGGAGAGTGACTGCAACGAAGTTCTCGGGCCAGGCGCAGAAGTGCGTCAGGTGACCGGAACGGGTAATTTTCACCGATGCATTATTGTGCCAAGGTGACTGCAAAGTGTTAATTCTAACTTTGTTCGTATTTGTGCACAGATTTTTAGGGTTGTTGTTTTTTTCTTGGAGATTATATCTCTTTCCTCTGTGTTCCTTCTCAATGAATACAATGAAAATGTGATGTTCACAGAAACAATGTTACTAAGCAATGTCATGTGAAAGAAAATATGACCACCGAAACAACGTAACTGAACAATATATATAAAGTAAAATATGGCCACAGAAACAACGTAACTGAACAATGTTTGTGAAGGAAAATATGACCACAGAAATTCCTGATAATTTATTATAATTCTTGCATCTTTTCCGTCAAGGTCTAGCTCTTCCAATATTTTCAATAGCTCGTCATGTCTACAAGCACACAGAAAGTTTGTAACAGCAAGTTGTTTGACAGTTTACTTTTCCGATCCAGCGGCCATTTGAGTTCTAGCCCTTCGGCCTGTGTTTGACAGGTCAACATTTCTTTTAATTTTAGGTGGACTATTTCAGTTGATGTTGCCTATCTTATTGAGAGCTGCCCCAGAACCTGTAGGTTGGGAGTAGCCCTGGAAATATTGGTGGTGAACTGATGTATCTTATATGGGGTGTGCATGACGGCGGTTTGGGCCAATCGCTGGCCTCTGTCGCCTCACCTGACTCGCCGGCTCTTTACAAACGCGTTTGTTTTCAGGCGACCCGTCGTAATGGCCACCCCGTATTAGGAGACTATGTCCGATTCAGAAGGATGAGGACAAAAGTGATAATTGTTACCTGTGCACATTTATAAGACTAGTGATTCCTTCCCCACTGCTCGCTGCTGTGGAAAGCTGGGTTTGACTTTGTGACTTTGATGTTTCAGGTACGTCTGGGAGGCAGCCCCACCATGGGGGGGTACCAGGAGACCCCGGCATACCCTGACTGTAAGCAATCAACCTCTGTCTCTTGTTACAAGTCTAACTCATTTATTCATTTGCCAATTTGCACATAACTTTACGTGTGGTTGGCTGGTAGTCTGGTGTGGTTTGCTTCTTCTTTCCTATCGAACATCTGTCTTCTTTATCTCTCCTCCTTTTTTTGTATTTGTTACTCCCTTGTAACACCTCTAATCTTCAGCACTTATATGCCTTATTTTATTGCAAGTGCCGTAAAACTCTTACGACCCCCCCCCCCCCCCAAAGAAAAAAACCCCATAACTTTACTTGACACTTCTGTAGGGCAGTGACTGAACAAAAATTTTGTTTTTAAGAATCTTGATCAATAATATTTTTTTTAAGTTTCTTTATTTGGGCCCTCTACAGGGAGCCTAAATCTACCCATTTTCCCAGTAATTATCCATTTTGAACCCTGTTCAAACATGATACCATTAAAACATTAAAGGTGTCAGAACCAACTAAATTCGCGATGAGCTCCGAAAGTAAAAGTGGGTGGTTGACGGGTGCTCTGATGTGGTTTGCTTCTTCTTTCCTATCGAGCATCTATCACCCTGATCTCCCCTTTTTTATTTTTGTTACTCTCTAGTATCACCTCTAATCTTCGACACTTATATGATGATGACTTTATTGTGTTGCAAGTGCCGTAAAACTCTTACTACCACCCAGGGCAGTGCCACTGACTGTAGTGTCTTTAGGCCATTCCCAAAGGGGGGACATTTCTGGATCAAGCATAGTAGAATTGTAAATGGGCTGACTTATGTCACGCTCATAACTGTGCCTGATCTACAACAGGGAACTGCTGCTTTTACTTTCCTGATCTTTACTATCGTCATTTTCCTCTACTTCTTTTGTATGTTTGTCACTCTCTTGTGACTTGCTTATTCTGGGGTGCCTTGATAGTCGAAGCAGACTTTGTGCTGTTGAGGCTAGAGTCTGATTTCCTGTAAAGACTTCTCTGTTGACACCCACCCCTTTGCGCTCATATGACCTTATGCAGTTGCGAGCGCCGTAAAACCCTCTACTATAAAAAAAGCCAAACTCTTACTAAAATTAAATGAAAGTTTTAAAAAATGGTTTTGAAAAAGTTCTGCATGCAATCTCTCCCACCCCTCCATCTCCCGTAGCATCGCCTGGCAGCTGTAGTGCAGGCACGCCATCAGAGATCGAGTCGGCCCGACCGTCGTCAGCCGGGGAGGAGGAGCTACAGCTGCAGCTGGCGCTGGCCATGAGCAAAGAGGAACACGACGAGCAGCAGCGCAAGCAGAAGTCGGATGACATCAAGCTGCAGATGGCCATCGAGCAGAGCCGCGAGCATGTGCCGTCGGTGAGCAGACTTGTCCCAGGCTAGGAGCTTGTCTCATAGCTGTCTCATAATACACCACCCATCATAATAAACCACCCATCACACCCCCCCCCCCCCCCCCTTTCCACGCAAATTGTCAGAACACGCAGCTGCAAATATGTACCTCTAAAAACAAAGAAAGAAAGATATAAAAGAAGTTTTTCTACCAACTAGCATAAGGCTTTTGTCAGAATAAGCATCAATGTGTGTTGCTCTTTCGAGTAGGAATCTATATTACTCTGAAGGTCTTGTAATTAATTCCTGCATGTGGTTGAATGATGCATCTGATGTGATAGGTACATTTTGTCAGCTTTACTTCTCTTTTCATATTAATGGTGGGTGGTTGGTGGGTGCTCTGGTGTGGTTTGCTTCTTCTTTCCCATCAAACATCTATCGTCCTTATCTCCCTTTCTTCTTTTTTTACTTTTGTTAC